GTCCACTTTCCCAGCATGCTCCGGGGCCGACTGACTTAGCCCTCAGTAGGTTTGGGAGAGGAGAGGAGGGAGGGTTAGGGCTGAGAGTGGGAGCCGGGCCCAGCGAGGTCCGGGGAGTGAATGCCGCATTGTTGGCCAGGCCAGAGTCACAGATAATTACCTCAATTAGTGACAATGGGAGAGTAATAAATACAGGCTTAGTGTCTCCTACCCCACCAGGGCTCCGAAGATTAATCCAGCCTGACGGGCGGGCCCTGAAAGGCATGATGGACAATTCATTAAACTCCCCAAATGCCGCACAACCTGGGCGTGAAGGCTGAGTTAGCCCCCTGGGGGCCGTGTCTTTGTCCCAATTGTGTGTCTCCGACACAGCAGAGCCGGGAAGCCCCCGAAGAGTGGGGAGGTGAGTGGGGCTCCCCCAGCCTGGCCGGGCGGCTGGGGGATTAGACCTCAGTCAGGCCCGGGTTGCCCTGGCACACCAGCGCGGCCTGGCTGGAATGTCCGTGGGGGGAAGCTGGCCGAGCGGAGGGGCGGGGCCGACAAGGTGGGGTAAAGGGGCCCACAAAAACAGGGGCAGGAGGAGTTAATTAGACGCCAGCCTAGGAGGGTGAGGGGCCACAATGGCAGCCAGGACAGCCCCTCACTTCCGAGGATTAATAGGGAGGAGGGAGAGGGAGGGATCGACCCCAGGGGAGAAGAGCTGGCAGCTTCCCAGGGTGGCACCGCCTCCTCCTGCCCAGCTTGGCACCCACTTGGCAAGTGGACGAGAGACAGGAGGCTGTGCCAGCCCGAGCAGATGCTCCCCAGAGTCCCACAGACTGGCCCTTCCTTCCCCACAGGGGCCCTCCGTCGGGAGGATGATTGGGCCCAGTAGAGAAAGGCGCTTCTCATTTATCAGGGAGGTGGTGCGGTTAGGAATGTTCAGGGGCCTGTTCTCAAGCCCGAGCTGAGCCGCGACCTCTCAGAGGGAAACCAGGGGCCTGGAGCCCCTCAACCCCTCCTGATAAGGCCGATAAGGCCCCAGTTAAAGCCAAGAGGTCAGTGTGTGTGGGAGCCTGGCCGCAGGTGTGCTCAGGGGAGCTCTCAGGTGCGCAGCGGCCTGGCTGGCCTCAGCACCTGCTGAACCACCTGCTGAATGCAGGCTCCATCTTCAGCTTTGCCAGACTGAATGATGCAGGAAGAGAGTAGGAGACGGGCTGCCCCCCGCCAGCCTGGCCTTGGCTCTTTGCTGCTGAACCTTCGGCCCAGGCACGGGAAGACTGGGGAACCCACCTGTGGGCCCACGAGCAACTGTCCAGAAAAAACAAAAACGCAGTGCCAGCGGTGCCTTCCCTTTGAGGGGGGAAGGCAGCAGGCTCTGGAAGCCCCGCTTCCTCCTGGGCCTCCTCCCTGGGTGCGGCCCCACCCTCCCCCTCCCAGGGGATGACAAGACAGCGAGTTGGCCACAGTTCCCTGGGCATATTTATAACCTGGGCTCACCAGCGTCTGCTTTTAGCCCAGACGGGGGAGGGGGAGGGGGCAGGGGGGTGGTCTGTCTCATGCCGGGTGCACCGCTGGGTGTGGAAAGAGTGAGTAAGGGTGAGTGGTGGGCAGCTCTGTATGGATATTCCTGCTCACACCACAGCCAAACAGCTTATTTTCTCCTCATTTTGTTATTTTTCTCGCTCTGGCCTGGAGAGGAGGACAGAGCCAGCCTGGGGGTGGGGGGACACCTAGACCCTGGGGTATTTGCAGCCCCACTGACAGGGTTTTTCCAGGGTGCATGCGAGCAGCCTGCTGGTCCCGCTGCCCAGGCCCCCTTGTCTCCTCCTGTCCTGTCAGCTTTTCCACTCCCCCCCACCCCAGGATATTTTAGGGTTAGTGTATCCCTCACTTGCTGAAGTCAACCATGTGCCCAGGGTCCCTGCCAGCCATGAGACCCCCCCCCAGTGTGCAGTCACTTGAGGGGGGCTCTCCAGGCACAAACGCTCTGCCCCCCAAGTTTGCTCGCTCTAGTCCCGCGTGCACGTGGGAGACGCTTTGCAGACCTCTCAGCTCCTCGGCTGTCTCTTTCGCTTCAGTAACGTGCGCCCCACGGAGGCCTGCCACATTCTGCAACCCCCTGCACCCCTCAACGCCCAGCCCCTGGAGTGAAGGGCCCCACTTGGTGACATGACTGGGAAAGTCTGCCTTCAACCCCATGTGTTGCAGACGGCCTCCCCTTGGCTGCGCCCACAGGCTCTCCCCATTCCGTGGACACTGTCACTGACAGCTTCTCCCCCAGCCCCTCCACAAACTCGCCACATGGGCACAGCCAGTACATGGCTATTTCCACACCTGGCGGGGGGTCAGTTCTAGTGACCCAAACTGTCGCTGCCTCGTGACCTCCTGCGGACTCCATCACCTTCCTGAAGGAGAAGCTGGTGGATGACCATTGCTGTTTAACAGACAAGGCAACCAAGGCTGAGGACAGAAGTTTGTGGAAAGCGGTGTTAGGCCAGGAGCGGGTGCACGCTTCCTCTGGCTCTTCCCCTGGCTCCTCCGTGCCAGCCCAGACCGCCAGGCCTATCCCTTCACTCCTTGCCCTGCAGTTTCCAGGGCTGCACGCGGGGGCCATTACTGTGAGTGCTTGGAGTTAGGTGAAGTGAGGGGCCTGGGGGCAGCTGCCAACCCTGGAGTCCTGGCCCTGCTGCCCCCAACTCGGCAGTGTCCAGCCCAGACCCCTGCCCTCTCCTGCCTCTGGCAACCCATTAACCTCTCTCTTTAGGGGCTGTGGGATCTAATAACTCGCTGGATGGTAGACTGGGCATTCTTCCTGGAGGGGGACCTCTGCTAAGGTCCCCAAGACCTGTCAGGTGCCTCCCACCTGTCCTCAGCTGCCCATCAGAGCCAGCTGGCTTGGGGCACAAAGAGAAAGGGCGAAAGATACCAAGCAGGCTCACTTCCTCCCCACCCCCCACCCCCCACATCCCAAAGACCAGGGCGGGTCAGAGTTCACAGACCCGGAGGAAAGAGAGGGAGAGGCTGGAGGGAAGTAGAGCAAAGGGTCTCAAGGAGAGAGGACAGTTCTCCTGTAGCTGCCCTTAGGGTGAGGGGTAGGGGTGCTGGGCTCCCGCTACCCTCAGGCCCAGCCATGGGAGGGGGGAGGGTTGGGATTAGGGGCAGTGTTAGGTCTTAGGAAGGGCGAGTGTTTGTCTGAAGCTAGGGTTAAGGTTCAGCTTAGCGCTAGATCTCATGCCAGGGAAGGGATTAGAGTTAGAGATAGGGTTAGGGTCGTGGGCAGGATTAGTACCGCTGACACCCTGCAGTCACACGCTGTGAGCCACAGGCCCTGCCCAGGCCACAGCCCGCCAGCCTCAGGGCTTGAGGTTTCCCTTAGGTTGTGCAGGGTGAAGCCCAGCCTGCATCGGGCTTCGAGCCGCCTGCTCTGCTCTTCCCCCACCATCATTTGAGTTTCTGGGTTCAGAGCTAGATCCCATCACCTGTTCTGTGGAGTTTCCTGAACTCAAGGTGGTGAGCTGGGGTCCCAATGAAGTGTTTCTTGTCTTGGCAGGAGAGGGGGGGGCCTTGCCCCCTGCCCAGTGCCTGACCACATCTTGAAGCACATGAACCCCAGGGTCCTATAGCTCTGCACAGCGTTGGAGTTGGGAAGGTGGGTACAGCAGCACCCCGTGCCTGGGCTTCTTTTCTCTTTCTCCTGTGGTTTCTTTTCACAACAACTCTTCCAGGTAGGAAAGGAGTCTGGTTTGTTTGACCACATTGGACAAGGAATGAAACCGAGGTAGTTATGCACCTGCCGGTTAACCCACAGTCTTCTAGCGGGAGCAAGAGCCCCGCACCTCCTGTGGCCTGTGGCTGCCAGACCCTTCTGGAGATCTGGGACACCACGGTCCATGCAGAATCTGTCACAGCAGGGCCAGAATTTCAAGGTCCTCTTGCGGGGTCAAGAAAACAATCCCAAAACAACGTATCATTTTTGTTTAAGAGGTAAACAATGGTGTGTTCTGGATTCAAAGAAAAGTCACCACGTCTTTGATAAAAATAGAGATTTTATTCTGCAAAGGAAGATACTACATTGGTGGGGGCGAGGAACCATGAATAGCTACAATGGAAGGAAATACTGATCCCCGCAGGCAAAGGCATCATTGTTTGAGAAGCCAGAGAGATGAAGAGAAGGGTCAGGAAAGGCTGGAGCGCAAAAGAGAGAGGGAGAGAGAAAGCCTGCCGAGTGGCGTGGCCTGGGGGGTGGAAATGGTCTTTGCAAACCAGGCTGGAAACCAGCACAATAAATAGTTTTTATTTACAACAACCAAATTTGTGGCTTTGGAGCCACGTTTCAGTGCAAACTATTTACACACTGATGAAACAGGACAGGAAGGGGTAGGAGGTGGCTGAGGGAGGCATGGGTCCCAGCTGTTCAGTGGCCCCACGACAGCGGAGGGGGGGGTGTCCTGCCGTGTGCCCCCAACCTCGCCTTCCACATCACCACAGCTGCCCCTTCGCCCTGGAGGTGGGCGAAGAGCTGCCTCCTGCCCAGGTGTGTCTTCGCCAGGGCCCTGGCGCAGGAGGTCCAGAGCAGGGCAGGTGGGCATCTGGAGAGGACCCAGGCTGAAGGGGAAGGAGCAGAGGCAGGGGGTTCACTGGCCCCAGCAAACCCGGAAAGGGCTGGGGAGGGGTCCTTCTCTCACCTCCTGCCCAAGCAGGGGCAGTGCAACTGGGAGTCTCCACCCAGAGGGAGGGAGGTATGTCCCGGGCAGGCCCATGTGGGTGGCAAGAGGGTTCATGCTGCCCGCCCGCCCGGGCAAGTGGCTTCAGGAGTCCCCAGGTAGGAGAGGTGGTGGAAGAGACGATCCCACAGCCCAACCCCGAGTGCAGCTGGCTGGCTGGCTGGCTACGGGGGGGGGGGGGGGGGGGGGGGGGGGCAGCGGGGGGGGGGGGGGGGGGGGGTGGGTGGGCGCAGGTCGGGGTCTTCGGGCCCAGGCAGGGTTTGGGCTGGGAGTGGGGTGCGCTTGAGAAAAACGTCCCTGGGGCGAGCCCGCGGCCCGGCTCACAGGCACTCGTGCAGGACGCGCGTGTGCGTGCAGTTGCGGCAGCTGACGTGGCAGCACCAGTGGAAGGTGCAGTTGCAGCGCTCGGTGACGCGCTGCGTGCGCGTGCGGTGGCCGCGGCCGCAGCACAGCAGCTCGCAGCCGTCCAGCGCGGGGGACGAGCTGTTGCAGGCGCGCCCCGCCGTGCCGGTGGTGCCCAGGCGTCCGCTGTACGTGCAGAAGTTGGGCGATTTCTCGAAATAGACGAGGTCGTGCGGGGAGGGCGGCTTGTGCGCGGGGTCCTCGGGCTCCAGGCGCAGGAGTTCTGCCCGCGAGGCGCGGTTGCTGCCGCGGTTGCCGTAGAGCACGCGGGAGGCGCCGTCGAAGCGGTCTCGCAGCACGTCGCCCACGGCGCGCAGGGTGGGCAGCCGCATCCAGCAGGTGCGCACCGTGCAGGAGCCGGACATCCCGTGGCACTTGCACTCCTGGCGCATCTCGGAGAAGACGGTCTGGGGGAGGGTGGGAGGAAGGTGTTCCAGGGCCCTCCCAAAGCCCGAACACCACCCCGATCCCGCCCCCACTCTTAAGCCGCCCTGAGCCTCAGCGAAGGCCCAAACTAGCCGAGCCCAAGCAAAGGGAGGAGCATAAAACTCTGCAGAGATTTGGACACCAGGTGCGCCCCTGCGCCACACCGAGTCTGCACCGGTCTATCGGCCTTGGCTTTCTGACCTTGTGCGTTGTGATTGCGGGTCATGCATCCTGTGCAGGACGGCTAACTCTGGTTCTGCCTGCCCTCAACCCAGGCGCTCTGTCCTGTCCTCAGCCACCGGCGCTCGCGCTCTCTGGCCTCCTTCGTTTCCTGTCTCCTTCAGGGCGCCCTCTCCTGGCTGCCTACCCTAACCCCGGCCTCCTCACAGACCTTTACCCCCCACCCCACCCCACCCCAGCCAGGCCAGGTCTTGAGCGGGTAGAGGGATCCCGCCCTACCCTTAGGGCGCAGAGCGCGGGAGCAAGTGGCCTCACCGTGCGTCCAGCCTCGTTGTTGTGAAGGTTCATGAGGAAGCGCAGGTCTCGGCCCTTCTCTCCGGAGTCCACAAACTCCCGACCAAAGAGGCGACCGAAGTCAATGTTGTCGCTGCAGCCCCCCCAGTGCCAGTCGGGGCCCCCAGGGCCCCGCCGCCTGTAGTCGCAGGTGCAGGACTCAATGGAACCCTCAGAACAGGATCGTGCGACAGAATGAGTGACCCCAGCAGAAGTGATGGCGAAGATAAATGCTGTTTCCCGGCAGCCTGTGCAGGAAGGGAGCAGGGATCAGCAAGGAGAGCGAAGGGCAGGGCAACCCCCTCGCAGAGGACTCGGGGTCCCTGCCTCATGCCTCCTCTCCTCTAAAGCTCAAGGAGCCAGGTAGGCAAGGTCGGGAAGCTGGGCTCAGAGAGAACATGTGTGCGGGCACGCAACCACGTCACACTGTAACCACGGCTTGTTGAGGCTCGGCATGCGTCTGGCTCCGCAGTGGAAGTGGGGCAACCCCGGAAAGAAAAATCAGACATGTGGGGAGCAGACGTTTGCATTCCAAGATCCTCCACAGCCCAGCCTTTAAGCCACATGGTCTATGCAGCCTTGCTGGGCTGAGGCAACACACAGGACCTCAGAGACCAGCCTCCCCGGCACCTCTGAGGGGCTGGGGGCAGGGGTGGCCTGCCACTGTCCACTCCTCATAACTCCCTTTCTTGGGGGGCAGTGGCACAGTACAGTGAATCTCATGCCCACGGTGCACCGCCTGAAAGCCTCTGGGAGAAAGAGTCTGCACCAGAGCTGGCCGGCGGGCGTCTGGAAGCGCTGACACCGTGACCCCGCAGGCAGGCGCCCCAGCATCTTCCCTGAGCTCATCCGCCCGTGCCTTGGCGGTGACCCCGCATTCCCCTGGTCCCGGAGGCGTACCCACTTTCCCGGGTACCCACCTCGGTTGACGATCTTGCCGAAGAGGTGGGGCCCTGAGGCCGTGGGGCAGTTCCAGCGCCGATTCCGGAACTGCCACTTGCACTCACGCACGGCGCTCTGCAGCCCCCCGCTCACGCTGTGCAGGATCCCCGGGTTCTGGCGGATCAGTCGCCGCTGTTTGCGGCTCAGCAGCTGCAGACTAGGCTCCAGCACCAGCTGCAGGCTCTTGGAGTCCGTCAGCAAGTTCGTGGAGGAGGCTACGTTGACTATTCCCCTGGGGAGATGCAGGGCGGGCGCTCAGGCTCTGCAGGGGACCTACCTCAGGGGCCGCCACACCTGCCTGCGGTCTTTCTGGGGCTCTTTGCCTGGGGAGGGGGGGCAGCAATAGAAGGCAACCTCTCTTCCCCCCAGGGTGCTCCTTTGAAAGGATCGGTCATCCAGACTTTTGTCTGACAAATCTGTGGATAAAGTACTGTATGAGGAGCCTGAGGGGTGCTAGCGAGCTGGGGTGTAGGTCGACTCCAGGACAGTGGGTCGGGGGAGGCATGGGGAGCCCGGAGCTCAGACGTCCGCCTTGGCGCTCAGATGTCCACCTTGGTTTCCTGCTGCCCCCGGCTGCCTGCGTGAGGACCTGGCCTGTAGTCCCAGCCCTCCCAAGGCTTGAAGTGCGTGGGTCCCACCCTCTTCCTGCCTCCTGCCCAGTCCTTTGCTTCCCGGGTCAGGGAAACTTGACGTGCAGCCAGCACCCCGAGCTTGGGGGCACAAGCAGGAAAGGCCTCAGGAGAATTGTGGACCGCTGAGGGAGCACCCTTCACCCCACTGCAGCAAAGCAGGGTGCAGCTTCTTTCCAGAGCGCCCCTAGGTGGTGTCTTGGAGGGACTTCAGAGGAGGCAGGGACCTGCTTGCACAGCGATCCCAGCGCCGCGGAAGCTGGATGGGCTGGCCCCTGGCTCTGCGCCCCGGGACAAGTGGCCACCCCATCTAGCTCACTTACCACCATCGGCCACTGCTGTTGGCGGCCAGGGCTGCAGGCAGAGCGGCCAACGCCAGCAACAGCGTCGCAGAGACCCAGCCGGGCAGCGACGCCCAGCGCCCCATGACCTGCCCGGCCTCGCCCGCTCTGCGCTGCGGTTGGGGCGGCTGTGGCTGTTGCTGCGACGGCGGACGGACGCGGCGGTGGAGGGCGGCAGCGCCGAGTCGCAGGCTGGCTCTAGCAGCCCTGAGGGCGGGCGGCGGGCTGCATGGCTCTCAGTCCCAGCTGGTGGGCTGAGGCAGCCCCGGCGGGCGGCGCCGCCTCTTATAGTTGCGGCTCTGGCTTAAGTGACGATAGGAGGCTGCCCCGCCGGCCGCACCGTGGCACCAGGGCGCACCGGTCAGGGCGCAGACAATGGGGCCGCGAGCGGGGCCGTGGCTCCCGCCCGTCTGAGCCGGGCGCTGACGGGCTGGCCGTCGGGGCTCACCCCCGCCCCCTGCCCGGTGGCTCCCGCCTCCGGCCTGCACTGGCCGCCGACCCCTCCCCTGAGGACGCCCTCCCACGCGCGCGCGCCTCGCTCCTCTTCGCGTCCGGAGGCCGTCGGGGACCGGCGTCCGCCAGGGGGCGCGGGGACATTGTGCTCCAGAGAGCGTATTCCCGGAGCCAGTCTCTAAGCCGTCCTCCGTGGGGCTGGCCCCTCGACGTCACCCCGACCCCGGGCCCTTCTTTTCCCCATCCAGAGCTGAGGAAAGCTGTGGTCTGGGCAGCGACTCTGCCCCCAGCGCCCCCCCCCGCCCCCCCACCCCGTCCTACCCGCTGCAGCTCCCGACGGCTGGACTGGGAAGGGAAGGTGGGAGTCTAGAGGTGGAGACAGGCTTGTGGTCAGGGAAATCCCAGGGGTGGGAGTGTGTGTGTGTGTGTGTGTGT